CTGCCTCAGAGTGCAGTCCCGCTTCCATGTTTTGCAGTCAAGGCATGGCACAAGGGGCCTCTTCAGGTATTCCCTTGTAGCCCTTGGAGGATAAGACTAATTTTGTCATCAAGGCAGGACCCACATTTATTCTTTAGAATACTCCTATTGATAAATTAATGCTTTTAATTTCATGAGTTTTATTATATTAAGTAATGTGTACTTAACATGAAAAATATCTCAAAAATAAAGTATTGAGTTTACTCATTGAGTATATATATAAAAAAGGATCAGAATTTTCAAAATTGACTGGTTTTTGGTGTAGAAAGTCTGAAAAAGAACATCACAAATAAATTCCCATAGGAACTACCATGAAAATACTAATAGTGCGTTATAGAAAAAAAAAACTTTACTTCAGTTATCATGCCTAAGGCAGTGTGCACACATGACAACAGCATGTTTCATTCACATGCATCTCTTTCATTGACAGCACATGTCTGTTGCTTTCTTGGTCTTTTTATAAAACATATTTGACATCTCAGTGGTCTTGTTGCTTTGTCAGGAATTTCTCGGTATATTATACAGTGTATAGTTAAGAGAAGCATAAAATATCAATAAAATAAAGTATTAAATTCTTAGTAGGAATATTGCATTTAGAATAAATATCAGTATTTTCCTGTCAGCTGTGTACTGTTTTAGAAAACCTAAAAGATAATGTCAGAAATAAATTCCTGTGTGAACTACAATGAAAATACCAGTGGAACTCTACCACAAAAATAAACTTTGCTTCAACTGTGAAACCTAAGGCAATCTTCATGTATGACAACTGAATGTTCTGTGCACACATTGCTTATACTGACAGCAAATGTACTTAGCTTTCCTTTCCTATGTGACAGTCCTGTCTCCTCTTTTCCTGTTTTGTCCGGACCTTCTATATGCACATGCACTTAGAAAAATAAGATATTAATAAAATATCAAATATGTAATGAGTGCTTAGAATAGACATAAACCTTTTCACATCAGCTGTTTACTTATAAAACCTAAAAGATAACATCAAAAATAAAAAACTCTGTGAACTACAATGTAAACACAAACAAGTCTACAACAAAAATAAGCTTTGTGTCAACTGTCACACCCAAGGCAGTATTCATACATGACAACTGCATGTTCCATATACAAGTATTGCTTATACTGCTACCATGTATGTTTTCTTTTCCTGTCCTGTCCTGTAGGGCACAGTTGACAGCTTTTTGGTTTTCCTGCCTTCACAGTAGGTCTTTGTGATACTGTGCCTGCCTGTTCACCTATCAGCTCACCAGTGTTCTCCACAACTTTTTTGCATAGTTCCCTGGGCAGAAACATTTTGTTTCTCCTCTGCTGTAAATGGTCTCTTATGAGCTTGTCCCAATCCACTAAAAAAATTTTTCCCTGATGTTTTGTAGTTGTTATTCTCTTTGTGAACTATTAACCTGTTTATGCCACATATGTTTAGGATCAAGTAAAATGCAACCATTAGCCAAGTAACATCATACTTCCTACATAATTCGTCAACAATATCTTCTCCACATTTGGTTTTGTTGTAGAAAGTTTCCATCTCAGGCTTCTGTTTTGTTGAAGTTTCCCTATCAGGATTTCCATCATGGAGAAATGTTGACATGAGCAATACTGGTTTGCTTTGCCATATATAAGTCCAATGTTACATCTTTCTAAAATTCAAAGATTGAACTATACAATTCTCTGTTTTGAAATTGCAGCATTTGGAATTTCTGCTTTGTTCCTGCATACGGTTTCTGCACTGCTTAACTTACGCTGTTAGCAACGGTAACATCAGTTGGAAACCAGTAAAGTAATTATCCAGTGTCATATTCTGATCCGTTTGAGAGATGGGAGCAATAAGTCTGTTCACAACATCATTTGGTTTATTACTATATGAATAAGGGCCTGATGGCCGAGTTCCAGGATAAATGTCTAAATTGAAAGCATAAGTCTTCACATCTACAAGGGCATAAATTTTTATGCCATATTTTGACCCATCGTTTTTCCATAAGTCTTAATTAAATTTCTTAGATCACTATAAGAAATCTGTGCTAAGTATAGCAGACCTATGAATGCTTTCAGTTCAGCTAATAAAGTGTCATAATAAATATATTTTTGAATATGGCTGTTGGTGCACAGGGAACATTTTACTTGCATTTCAGCCTTTATGTATTTCCCAATATCTTGTAGCTTTTCGTTTGTTACCATTTCCAACACTAATGGCAGTGCTGGCATTCTGTTCTTTTATGCCTGCCAAGACCTTCACTATATTTTTGGACCTACTTGTAACATCGTATCATTCCCTTAGGTTGTGTGGCCATTTGCCAACATTTCTACTAGTCAAGTATGTACTCACATTGCTGTTTGTTATCTAAACCAAGAAAATCTTCATTCTCTATGTCTGTATCAGTCAATTTTTGCTCCATTTCACTGTCACAGGAGCTTTGGCTCACATGGCCAAAATCAAAGTCATCATTATTATCATAATCATCCACCCACACTGCTCTTTTGTTATGGATGCGTGTGTTTTACCATAATGGATCATCTTCATCATCCATGCATGAGTAAATCATTGATTCACTTTTGCCCTCCTCTAAAACTTACAAGTCTGGTTTTTCACATGCCATTATAGTGAATTGGTCTACTTCTACAAAAATAACAAGAAAACTTAATTTTTTTTAACAAATCTGGAGTGGTGTGGGTCTGTTGGACCCTCTGTGATGCTCAGATAAACATACAAAGCCAGTTAGAGCATAAAGGAGGGTCCAAATCCCATTTTGACAATTCTGCATGAGACATAGCATACCTGATAATCACTGAAAGGGTTACCTTTCACCTCACTTAGGGAGTATAGGTGGATATCATAGGTTGGTGGGGATTCTCTGCTGCTTACCCTTCTGGCCTCTCAGGACCTAACTTTCACTGAAGGACTTTTGGGTATCCACTGGAGAGTTACCCCTTCTATGACCCCTTAGTTGTCCTTTGAATTTTTACTAGTTTCACGCAATCAGAAGTCTGTCTCCAGAAAGGAATCCAGTTGCTCATCTGGCCACCATTCCATTGAACATTCTAGTTCACTGGCAGTACTGGGAAAAACCTGTCCTCTGCTTTGAGAGTAGCAGCTGCCCTAAAGGTGATTACTACTTGGTAGAGTAACCACTGTTTGGTTTGGCATTCTATAAGGGACAGATAAAAACCTGAGCTAAACATTGACAAGATTTAATAGGACCCATTTTTTTTTTATTTTTTTATTTTAAGGATAAAAGGAGGGAAACATTAACAGACATACAACATTTTACAACATATCACAAGCACAATACAGACAATACAGAGTTACAAACAAAGTGGTAGGGAATTAACAATGGTGGTTGTATTACATATTGATATCTTCAAAGTGGCTTCTCATGAAAACAGATATAGACATGCAATACTGGTCAACCAAAGACTCATTGACAGTTTCTTTCAGCATAGAAACAGCAGATAGAAGAACAACCGTGTTAACTATCCTGTATATACATACATACAAAATTTCTCCTTCTTTCTCTTCTCTTTTCCCACATCCCAGAAGCCCTTTACTCTTCGGTGGTTTCCTATCATTTCACAGTGTCTATCATACCTCCGAATTTAAATTAACTCTTTCAAGTTTTACACTAGTGACACAATGCGGTGCTTGCACATGTATGTTTGATTTATTTCACTTATGAGTATGGTCTCTAGTTGTGACCATTTAAATATAAAGGCCTCGAGTTTTTCTTTCTTTACAGCTGAGTAATATTCCATTATATAAAAGTACCATAATTTTCTTATCCAATCCTCAGTGGATGGACATTTGGTTTGCTTCCACATTTTAGCAATTACAAATTGTGTTGCTATGAACATAGGTGCACATATATCACTGTGATATGATGTTTTTAGATCTTCTGGGAAAATACCCAGCAGGGGGATAGCTGGGTTGAATGGGACCTCTAAACCTAGTTTTCGGAGGAATCTCCAAACTGATTTCCACAGTGGTTTCACCAGTCTGCATTCCCACCAGCAGTGGAGAAGGGTTCCTATTTCTCCACAGCCTCGCCAGCATTTGTTATTGGTTGATTTCTTAATGCTAGCCATTCTTACAGTTTTTAAAAATTTACTCTAAATTAGTACAAAGCCCACTGGATGGCGCTTTATTACATTTTCCTAGTAAACCACAGCAATCAGAACAAGTCAGATGAATATAAATATAGCATATGTAAAACAGAAGTATAAGATTTTGCCAGTAAAGGTAAAATGTCTCATCAAAGAAATATATTATTTTTCATGTTTTCAACTTAAAGCAAAAACTAGAGACAAACAATTGACAAAGAAAATGCATACCAGGGTGACAATTTTGATTACCTAATATAATTCAGCAATCAATAACCAAAAGCAAACTCTTACCTCCTGTTATTTCTTATTTCAGTGGGCCCTTCAAGTATGTTACAGCAGTGATATTAGAACCTCCAAATATGATGTGAGGGAAATATTGTAACTCCCAATCTGCTAGATGTCTGATATGCTGTGTTTGTGGTCCCTAAAAATTGGAGAATGAACTTTAGGAACAGTGGAGGTTAAAAGTAGAAAGATACGTATTGAGAGTATAGAAAGCTCCCGTCAGAAGAACAAGAGGGGTCTCAAATGGGTGGCCAAGGACCCCACTCTATATGCGTGTTTTATAGAACAAAGCCCACATGAGTACAATGTGAGTTACAGCTGTGATAAATAAGATTTTAAGTATAGCTGCTTAGGTAATGTTGATCCAGTGAGGAAGCAGGTCACATAGTAGGTGGAAGAACAAAGACTTTTTCTAGGAAATGATAGGTCTCCAGCCACAGTTTTGATGTGCCTTCATCTTCTGCACTGACTCCCTCAAGGGCCCGATCCCCCTTAGTAATTTCTGTCTATCTTAGCTATCTGTAATAAAAGGAACTAAAGTAATCATCAAGCCCAACTTTAACATTTTGCAGAAAATGAGAGGACCTGAGAGACTGGAGTTAGAGCTGTGGTAGCAGAACTAGAACTAAAATGCAGGCTGTTAATCTTGAAGCAGCAACTATGTGGGCGTAAGTATCTGTGCTATCTGATCAGACTTGGTAGAGCTGTTTTAGCACTGACTGTGAAAAACAGAAATTGTAGAACTTTAGATTATCCGGGTTTTTTTTTTTGGAATTTATCCTTCAGAGGTGTTATGTCATCTCAACTAGTAAATCATGATTCTTTTTGTTTATCCTCTGTAGTCTTAAAACAGACCATCCTCTTTATTTTAAATTTTTTTTCTCACTACCGGGGATTGAACCATGGGTCTCACATGGTAGGTAAGAGCTCTACTGTAACTGGCATTGTAAAATAGAACTTTAAAACCTAGATGTTTTTTCTTTTGGTGGTAAGCAACTTCTCCAAACTTCCTACTGAAGAGCATCATCATCCCCATCTCTCTTCAGACCTCAAAATAGTGACAAAATATGCAGATACTTGCACCCCAGGGCAGGAATCCAGTTTCCTTTCCATAGGAAAGTGGATAATGAGCTAAAGATGGCTAAAAGCAATAAAGCAAGTGTAAAGATCCATATTATCTCTCTGTCCTTACTGTACAAGACCCTGTCTGCCTGTACAAGGGGAGCTGGTGATTTGAAACAAATCAACTCTTTCATCTCCTCAGAGCTAGCTTTTTTCCTTTTTACTGAATTGTATACATCCTCCTTTGATTTGGTTAGTTCTGAAGAAATATACTTAGGCGTATAAACGTAAGCCTTGCCTATAACACTACCACTATGTAACACCCTCAACTCTTTTTTTTAAATTTTATTTTACTGGAGACAGGGTTTTGGTAAGCACCAAGGCTGGCCTAAAACTTGTGATACTCCTGCCGTAGCCTCCTATGTAGCTAGGGTTACCAGTGTGTGCCACCACTCCTTATTTTTGAGCTCCTAACTCTGGCACTTTCTTTTTTACTCTTATTTTAAGAAAAACTATGGCAGAAATACCATTGATACCCTCAAAAACTGGATCAAACAACATTAGGACTAGTCAAACAATCTTAGAAGTGTTCAGGAAGCAATATTTTACCCAGGGGCATCATGGCAAAAATTTTTTTTTTGAAAGGTGCATTATGGGGCAGTGTATACTGCCCGTGTTTATTTTTTAAACCTATTTTTATTGATTAGTTTTTTATTTTTAGTTTTATTGTATTAAATAATGTGTACTTAACAGGAAAATAAAATACTAATAAAACAAAGTATTACATTTTTAATATGTAATGTGTTTAGAATAAACATCAACATTTTCAATATCAGCTGTTTACTTGCATACAAAATCTAAAACGAACAGAAATATTTATGTGAGCTACAATGAAAATAACAAATAAAACTACCACAGAAATTATCTTGAATTATCAAACATAAGGCAGCCTTTGCACATTAAAAACAGCATGTTCCATACACAAATATTGCTTACACTGATAGCACGTGTTTCATTTTCCTATTTTTTCTGGCAGGTCATACTTGTTACCTCTCTTGTTTTCCTGTTTTGTCAGGAGGTTCCTTTTGTATTATACAGTGTTATAGTTTGTATAACACTATTATATCAATTATCACATCTAAAGCAGTTTTTTAATTTTTAATTTTAAGGAGAATAAAAAAAATTTAAAAATACTAGAAATGATGCAGAATTTCACAAAACAAGATGATAAGAATTCAACAATGGTTGTTATATTGTATATTGTTTCTTCAAATTAGTTGTTCAGATTATCAGATATAAGCATGCAAAATTGGTCAAAAATTTAAGCATTAACTATTCCTTTCAATAAACCAATATAAATCAGCAGTACAATTATCTTAGCTATCCTGTATATATACATACATATTTTCCCTTCTTTCTTTTCCCCTTTCCTTCATTCCAGTTTTCTTTCTTTTTGAGCAGTTTCTTTCCTTTTCATAATATCTGTTGTACCTTTAAATCAGTTTTGACACAAGAACAGAATGTTCCATGCACAAGTATTGACAGCTCATGTGTTTTATTTTCTTACCTTCTTTTGTAGGACATACTTGTCATCTTGGTGGTCTTCCTGTTTTCTTAGGAGGTTCTTATGCTCTTTCATCTGTCTGTTCACTGGTCTGCTCCACAATTCTTTTGCAGAGTTCTTTGGGCGGATACATATTGTTCTTCTATTGTTATTGATCATTTATCAATTCCAGTCCCAATCTTTCAAGAAAATTTCTCTTTTATATTCGTGCTTGTTATTTTCTTTGAAAACTATGAAACTATTTATACTTGACATGTTTAGGATCAAGTAAAACACATCCGTTGGCCAATGCTTTCTATGTTAAGTGACATCACAGTTGATGGATAACTTATCAACATCTACTCCACCTTTCATTTTGTTGTAAAATGTGACCGTTTTGGACTTCATTTGTGTTGAGGATTCACTATCAGGCTTTTACTTTTGTTGTTGTTTGTTTTTTGAAATGGGGGGTAGGTCTCACTATGTAGTCCAGGCTAGCCTTGAATTCACTATGTAGCACTGGCAGACCTTGAACTCATAGGATCTTCCTGCCTCAGCCTTCCGAGTGCTGGGACTACAAGTGTATACCCCCACACAAGGCTTCACTATCAATCCTATCTTCTTGGTGTAACATTGACAGTATCAGTGCTTTGTTTTTTTCACCATATAGGAGGCCAATGTTACGTCTTTCTGAAACCCAAAGATTGTACTATACATTTCTCTTTTGTGAACTTGCAACAGATTTTTGGGACTCTCAGCATTGTTCTTCCAAATAATTTCTGTAGTGGTCAGCTAGTGTTCTTTTAGCAAGTGTGATCAGTAGGTAATTAATTAGTAGACCAATTGTTGAATGTGACATTTGGGTTACTTTTTGAAATAATTACAACAAAACCATTTACAGTGTCATGGGCTGGGATTGTAGCTCAGTGGTAGAATGCTTGCCTAGCGTGCAGAAGGCCCTGGGTTCAATCTCCAGCACCACAAAAACAAACCAAAAAAACAAGGTCATATAGTTTATAACTGTATGAATAAAAACCTGGTGGCTGAGTTCCAGGATAAATTTCTAAAGTCAAGGTGTAAAATGTCCTCACATCTACTGGGACATGTATTTTTATACCATATTTGGAAGGTTAATTTGGCATATATTGCCAAAAGCTTCAACAACCATGAAATGATGTGAGTTGTTGGTTAATTGTCATGTATTTGGACAATATATAAATTGCTTCACAGTTTGAAATAAAGCTTTTAAAACATGAGTGAATAGTAGCCAAGTTGTTAGATTTTTTTCTTTCTTGGCAGGTCCTTCTATCACAAAAGTCAGCAATTTTGAAGGAAACCAAGTCTCTTGAGTGTCATTATTGTTATAAAAAACTTAGTGCCACATCTTTCACTTCTCCATAAATCCTTTAAATTCCAATGATTAGAATGATAAAGTCCTGCTATGAAGGCTTTTAGTTCAGACAATGAGGTGTCATGATTAATATATGTTTATTACTGTTGATGCATGTTTTACTTGTATTTCATTATTAATGTATTCCAAAACATCTTGTAGCATATTGTCTGTTACAGTTTCCAGTGTTGAATTGCAGTATTATCGTTCTGTCCAATAAGTTTCACCCCCAGCAAGAACTTAATAACATTTTCTGGCCTCATTCTCACATTGGAGCCTTCAGGTACACATTACCATTTTGCAGCATTTTGACTAGTCAAGTATTTATTTACATTACTATTTTCTACCTCATCTGAACCAAGGTCTTCATTTTGTACTTCTCTATCTGTCATATCAGTCATACATTGCTAACTTCTTTGGTTTACATAATCCAAGTCATCATCGATAGTCAAGTCACTTGAAGACTTACTTTCATCCTCCTCCCAAAGTTGTAAAAGTGAATTTTCATGTGACATTGTACTGAATTGGGCTAATTCTACAAGAACAATCCATAGAAAACTTTTAATAAAACAAATTACAGATACACAAATACATAACATGGCACACAATGTAGGTAAAACTCACCTGTTTACACTTTGGCACACATGCGTACACTTTGCTGTTTGTTGTACCAAACTGAGTGAATACCAAGATTGCTTCCTGTATTCCTCTACTGTAGCTACTGGGATGCACAGTTGACTTCTATTATGCTAAAGTACATATTTTCATTGGAAGACATTATATGGGCACCTGCGACCCACCCTGATGCCCCTATTAAGGATATAATTGCATAGACATCAAATTAGAGACCATCAATATAAAATTTGTACAGTAAAATTTAGTCACATTGTCACTGTTTAGACTTGGAAGGATACAAAAACAAATGTAACATTTTGAATTACTAAGTGGTAAACTGCCTACATACACAAACAGGAGAGAAAATATGGGTAATCATAATTATAATCCATCTATTAATGCACTTCACTTGCAGAGCACTTTTGCCTCTGTCAATTTCATTTACTCTTCCTTACTCTGAGGTAATTAAATTGAGCAATTAGGGGGTGGGAATCTTGACAGCGATAACATTTTGATTGTTTTTGAGCAGATGTAAGTGGTATTATCATAAGTTCAGGTTTGTTTGCTTCTGATCAGCTCAAAGGAGGCCATATGGTCTGAAGGAAAAAGGATTTATTCAAAGCTAGCTCTGAGGAGGTGGTTGGGCCCATTTTCTTCCCATCACCATCTTCACTGTACAGGTGGGCAAGTGTCTTATAGTAAGGAACAAAGGAGGGGTGCTCAGAGAGATGGCACAGATCTCCACACTTGCTTTATCACTGCCAATCATCTTCAGCTTATTGCCCCCTTCTCATGGAAAGGAAGCTGGGCTCCCAGCCTCTGGGTGTCAGCCTCTGCTTTCTGTCTTATCTAGGCTGAGGAGAGGAAGGGTGTCTTGGTCGTGTGCCCAGAAGGAGGAACTTGGGAGAAGTTTCTTATCTCTGCAGGGGACATCTACCTTTTAAAGTTCTGTTTCTCAGTGCCAGTTACAGTAGTTCTCACTGCCTTTAGGACTTTGAATTACAGCCATGGCATTTCTAGTTTCAAAATAGGAAATTAAAACAAAAATCTGTATTCTCTTTAGCCCACTGTATCAGTCAGTGCACATACATAAAATGTATAAATATATAAGGATTTACAAGGTAGGCTTACAATGGCCGCCTGGCGTGTGAGGTGTGGAAGAGGGCAAAAGGGCTGTCTGTGTGCTGGAGAGCCGAAGGATCGAGATGGAGGTCAGAGTCCTGGAGCTCACTCTTGAGTCCCACGTAAGTCTGCATTAGGAGGCCTCCAAGGATCTGTGCTGCAGGCTGAAGAGTCTGTGATGGAAGCGAGGAGCTAGACGCCCAAGGTGAAGGCAAAGACTGGAGCTTCAAAAAAATAGAATCTTCTGCTTTGTTCCCCTCTGTATTTCATCCAAGCTACAAGCCTATTGGTTAGCGCCACTCAGACCCAGGTTAGGCCTTCCTTCTGCAGTAGATCCATTCAGCCACACCCAGAAGTATGCTAATCCAATCATTTGGGTGGTTCAGATTCAAACTGACAAAACAGTTAACTATCACACACCCCCTTAGATTATTTGAGGCTTTTTATTTTCCAGGTTCAGCTGCAGTTCACTTGTTCTTTTCAATGAAGGTACTCAAAATAGAGCTCTTTGAGTTCCTGATATGTACTTATAATTGGGTTTCAGGACTCTGGGGTCTCCTCCTGAAGGTGGTTTCTAGGTTCTTTCTATTCTGAACAAAGAATTGGTCAAGACAAGTGCAGAAAGATGTGTGGTAGTGCACACTTGTAATCCCAGCATGTGGGAGCCTGAGGGAAGAAGATTGCGGTGAGTTCAAGGCCAGCCTAGGCTCCATAGTAAGTTCAAGGCCAGCCTGAACTATGTAGATAGTGAAATCCTGTCTCAAAAAAAAAAAAAAAAAAAAAGACAAACTGAAAAGATGTGAGGTTATATATTTATTAATGGTAGGAAATGTGCTCTGCAGCGTGCTTGTGGGCCAATTAAAAGTAGAAAACAGCACAGTCTGCAAGGTCAGAGCAGACCACTGTGAAGAGGCAGTGGCAGCCTTCTTTTCTCCCACTTCTCAGGTCTAGGTTCTCTCAAAAATTGGTTAAGTTCTTGCAAGAAGAATTGAAGGTACCAATCTCTGATTCATCCCAGGTGCACGGCTTTGGGAAGTGTTCTGCACTTGTATCCTGGAACTCTGATCAACAGATCACCTCCCATTTCCTTAGCTGGTTTACCACACCCTACTCTCCTGCCTCGTACCTTCATAATGAGCACTTGAAACCTGTCATTAGAAAGTTCCTGCTGGACCAGGTGGTGCACACCTGTAATCCCAGCACTCACTCAAGAGGTTGAGGCAAGAGGATTGCTGTGAGTTGGAGACCAGCCTGTACTACAAAATGAGACTGTCTCAAGAACAAAGCAAAATATGTTAGAAAAATTGATCTGGATTTGCTATTTCTGAAATCAACTAATATAGAAGCTTCAATAATAAAAAACAAAACAAAAGTTCTGATATGTCAGGCTAATACTATGTATAAAGCTGATGAACCTGCTTTTGATATTTTTTATTTGCTGAGGTTTCTTCCAGGGGAGATAACTTTCTTACTAGGAGGCATTTGAGATTCATTACAAAAGTGTTATACTGTCATACAAACTTTCCTCGTAACAGAGATTTATCTGAGTAATGATGATATTGGATGAAACTTTTCAGTACATTAAGTTACATAAATGCAGAACTTTAGTATCACATATTTAATACCTATTTTCTTTATTTCTCTTTGGGTAACTTAAGACTTTAAAGTTTATAGTTTTGTAATTTGAAAAAAATACCAATTACCTATGATATTTGGAGCTCCAGTGTGGTTGAGTATTCTCTCATACCTACAGAACTGGGTCCTACCATTTTTCTTTAGTTTTGAGTATGAGATGGAAAATTTCATATCCTTCTTTTTATAGGAAATATGATGTCACAGTGGTTCCATATTCTAGGCAGTTCTAAAATTTTAGAACCATAAGCTCAGCTTAGTTTTAGGTGAGGCTAATTGTTTTTCAAGCATTTGAAAAACAAAAAATTGATAAATCATTTTTATTTAAACAAATGTTATGAACTCCTGTGTACAGATCATTTACTAGGTATTTATAGATGACTACAATGAATTTCCTTTCCTCATCAATATGTGGTAAATTCCAAAAGGCATATACATTGTGTTATGAAGAAGAGGAATCTGATCTACTTGAATTTCAATTTATTTGATATTCAGGATTTAGAAAGGAGCAAGGTCTTTTTCCTTAAAGGAGCTAAGCCTGGGGAGAAAAGAGTATTCAAAAATTTTTTTGTCTTAAAAAGTATAAATAGATGGTAAGTTATAGTAGTTGCTCTCCTTAAGGGAAATAACATTTTGTGCTCGCCCAAATAATGCTTCTGGCAAATTTTAAAGAACTCTTTAATGGGAGAATCTTAACTGGCGTTGTATTTAACGTAGGCTACATAAAGAGAATGCTACAGGTATTAAATATATTAGAAGACAGATATACTTACATTGCTTTTATTAGCATATTTAATTCTCACTTTATTTTTAGTAACTTTTGTCATGTTTCTTCATATTTTAGACCTGGAATGGCCAGATATCAAGGTGAAGTTCAAAGTCTGAAACTGGATGATGATTCAGTTATAGAAGGAGTAAGTGACCAAGTTCTTGTGGCAGTTGTGGTCAGTTTCACTTTGATTGCTTCCCTGGTATATGCACTTTTCAGGTGAGACTATAGGACAAATAAATAGAAATATTATATATTTCCAAGGGTCACTGAATTTTTCACTTTCAGTAGTATGTAATACTAAGAAAAATAAGTAATTTCAGTGAGTATGTGTATTTACTAAATACTTTTTTGTCCATTGAAATATATATTTCCAAGGATCACTGAATTTTTGACTTGTAATAATAATAAGAAGAAAAGTAAGTAATGAATTGTAGTGAGTGTATATATTTCCTAGAGTACTTTATTCTCCATTGGGCTCTGAATGCTAACGTATTTTTCCTGTCTTAACCAGATAAATTAATCATCCACATTTTGATTAAAGTGTTAATATTTTCTGAGAATGTCATATATTTGAAAAAAATGGTATCACTAGTAGATAACATAAATAATTGCAAAATATTTTTTAGTTTTTAAATGGAAAAACTGAAGAGAAAAGGAAAAAAATGTCTTGGACAGTGTAGAGGAAAATTAAGATTTGAAGTAACTTTAATTAATTGTTACAGAATTAGAACAACATTTAAAGGCCTCAAATGTCTGCTGATACGTAGTCTATGTGCCAATATATAGATTAGTAGATTTTTTTTTTTTTATTTATTTATTTTTTTTTTTATTTTAAGGATAAAAGGAGGGAAACATTAACAGACATACAACATTTTACAACATATCACAAGCACAATACAGACAATACAGGGTTACAAACAAAGTGGTAGGGAATTAACAATGGTGGTTGTATTACATATTGATATCTTCAAAGTGGCTTCTCTAGATTAGTAGATTTTTAATCCCCAAAACTACAAATCAGTTTTTTCCTCCAAAAACTACAGAAAAGATAATTAAACAGAATGTGAACACGTAAGGAAAAAATGGTGAAAAATGGTGGTTAAGTTTTTCTTTTACCTTTGTATCAGTAGTCTCTTAGGATAGCATCTTGATTTCAGCAGGGCATTTTTTGGAGTGATTCTCTCTAGGGAATAATGACTAAATGATAATAGGATTAAGTGAATTCATAACAATATAATTCATAATAATTCATAATAAGAATACTGACTGATGTTTTAATACAAACCAAATAAAAGTATTCTATGTATTACTTCAGGACTCTGTCTTTGGGCCTGCTCTGTTCATTTCTAATAGCAGGTGAGGTGAGTAAGACATAAGCAGGTTTATTGGTTTTTTTGTTTTTTGTTTTTCGTTTTTTTCCGGTACCGGAAATTGATCTCATGACCTTGCGTTTGCCAGGCAGGCGCTGTGCCACTGAGCTAAATCCCCAACCCCTAAGCAGGTTTATTGTTACTTGGGAGGGAAAACTAATGTGCTAGTGCAACAGAATGAAGATTCAAAAATTGTTAACCCACATACCTGATCTTTGCAAAGATGCCAAGGAAACGCAGTGGGGAAAGAGTTCAACAAATGATGCTGAGACAACTGAGTAGCCACATGCAGAGTGAAATTGGACCCACACTGCACCAGATAACTCAAAATGGATCAAAGATTTCAACTTTAAGACTTAAAACTATAAGATTTGCCGTGACTTAGGTGTAGTTTGTCTGCCAAGAATTCATGCCTGGTTTTCAGAGTAGTGGTGTTCAGACGTGGTGTGGAAACTTTCAGAGGAAGGGCCTAGTGGGAGTAGCTTATAGGTCATGAGAGCACTGTCCTGGGAGAAGGTTAACATGGTTCTGGTGAGGACCCTGTTAGTTCCCGTGAGAAGACCTGTTATGTAAGAGCAAGATCCAGCCCTGCCTGTTCTCCGGCTTCCTGTCTGTTCATTTATTTCTCCATCTCAGTGTTTACACCGTGATGTTCTTTGCCATGATGTAATGTGGGTAGGAGGCCTCTCACCACTTTCTGCCTCCTAAATGATAAGCTAAATAAATCTGTTTTCTGTGTATGTGATATTGGGGAGTGTACAAGGCCTTACATATGCTAGGCAAGAGGTCTACCACTGAGCTACATCCCCAGCTTTTTTTTTTTTTTTTTTTGAGATAGAGTCTTACTAAGTTGCCTAGGCTGGCTCAAACTTGAATGCTTTTCCCTTCACCTCCTGAGAAGCTAGAATTAGAGGCGTGTTCTATTGGTCTCAACCTAAACCTATTTTCTTTATAAAATACTCAGCTTTGGATAATTTTGTTGTAGCAATGAAAGGAATACTACAATACTTTTAGAAGAAAATATCAGTAAATCATCACAATCTTTAACATACAATATTAGTTATGATACCAAAAGCATGGACAGCAAAGTGATAAAGTACACAAACTAGACTTCATCAAAATTAACAACTGTTATATTTCAAAAGAAGTATAAAAGGAAATGAAAAGTTGGGTATGGTGTAACATACCTGTAATCCCAGCAACCTGAGAGGTAGAGACAGAATTGCAGGGTCCAGTCTGAGCAACGTAGTAAGACGGTCTCAAATTTAAAAAAAGAGAGAGGTAGCTTATTGCAAGGATCCTAGCTAGGTTCAATCCACCACCAAAAGAGAATCCAACTAATTTAAATGAACAAACAATTTGAGTTGACATTTCTCCAAAGAAAATACACAAATGGCCAATAAGCACATGAAAATATGTTCACTGTTACTAATTAAGAAAATTCAAAAATCAAAACCGCAGTGAGACACCACCTCACACCCATAAAGGTAAGATGGCTACATCAAAACTACACAAAATAACAAGGGTTGGGGAGGACATAGAGAAATTAGGTCCCTTGTTCACTGTCTTGAGAATGTAAGATATTTGTTAGAGAAAACAGTATGGCAATTCCTCAAAAAATGAGAAGTTGAATGGCTATATGATTCAGCAATTCCATTGTCCCAAATAACTGAAAGCAGAAATTGGAAAAGGTATTTGTAGTTCTGTGTTCATATTAGTGTTATTCATATGTTCCAAATAATTGGAAGCAGAAATTGGAAAAGATATTTGTAGTCCTATGTTCCTAGTAGCGTATTCATAGTAGCCAAAAAGTGAAAGCAGCCCATTCAACAGATGAATGTCTTTT